GTAGTTTTTTTACCCACGAAAGCTTATGCCCAAATAAATCTGCTAGTCTTTAAAGTGCCACCGGACTCCTCATTGTTTTCTTGGATAGTCAACCCACCAATAACCGTTCAGGACTTCTCTATGCATCATAAACAAACAGACAATCTCTTCCCCCCCCCCCACCTTTAAACTAAAGAAGATTACAAACTAAAATTTGTAACATTTAATGCATATTAAACACACCTCCCTCAGCCAGGCAGATTTTGGGCAACTCCAAAAAGACTGGACTTACTGCTATCTTTTGGAATATTTTAATACAGGCTGGTCTACACTGAAAACTTACCTTGGCATAGCGACATCTGTGAGGGGTGTGAAAAATCCACACCTGAGAGACATAGCTATGCCAGTCTAACCCCCAGTGTAGGCAGCACTCCATGGCTACACTACATAGCTTACAGCACTGCACTGTAGCACTGCTAGGGCAGATGCTCTAAGCCTATGGAAGAGAACTCTCCCGCTCACTTAATTAATCCAGCCCAAGCAAGGAGCAGTAGCTATGTTGGCGAGAGAAGCTCCCCCGCCTACATAACGCTGTCTCCACTGGCACTTAGGTCAGTGTAACTTATGTCTTTCAGGGAGGCAGCTTATTCACACCCCTAAGCAACATAACTTGTATTAACATAAACTGTAGTTTCTACATAGCCTCAGTGAGGTGGATTAACTACGATGGGAGAACCGCTCCTGTCACTGTAGTGAGCATCTACACTGAAGAGCTACAAGAGCAGTGCTGCAGCTGTACTGCTGTAGCGTTTTAAGCTTAGACATACCCTACCTGTCAAAGTCATTCATGCCACATTGTTGTCAAACATTATCTGTCACTTTGCAAATAAAATCATTACACCATAGCACCTGTTATATTACAACAAATATAATCAGTCCCTATCTGGCTTTGTGAATCTGCATTCAGAATACAGGAGTCAATTTGGGTTGTCCCACAAATGGGTATCTGTGAGCCCCACAAGTGAGTCTGTCCCTTGCCTGGGTAGGGTCAGGTGCAACTCAGTGTATATCTGACTATTTGTGAATCAGAAGCCGATCTGGTCCTTTAAGTGCATTCTTTCCCCTACTTCAAATAATCAAAACGAGAGCTCTTTAGACAGGAATTAAGTACAAGAGACAACGAAGAAGAGAAGTCCAACCATACCAACTCTAAGATTTATAGATCAAACTTTATTTCAAGGCATTTCAGTGACTATTCTTAAAAGCTTTCACAAAAATCAGATAGTACCTTATGATAGAGTAGGAGTGTCAACCTCATTCTATAGCGAGAGCCTAATCAGGATCTGTGGGCCTGGTCTACAAAATTAGCACCATATAAAACCCACAAATCCACAATGGCTTCCCAGTGATGACAGTAGGATTTTTGCACAAAGAATAAGAATAGAACATGATCTATAAATAATAACATAACATTGAATGGGTCTGATCCTGCAGCATTCCTCGCATACTCCAAAACTCCCACCGAAGTCAATGGTGCGTGCAAGAAGTGCAGTATCAGGCCATTAAGTTATTAAAGTTAATTGCTCTATTTGGTTATTCAGCAAAAAAGATGGTGTGTGTCTAAGTTACTACCACCACAATTTCTCCTTCAATTCAGTTTCTCCTCTATCTTTCTTTCTGTTTGTCTTTTGCCCATGATTATTTGTATCTCTCCTCCATACTTCGTTTTCTCCTTTTCGCTCTCCTTTTTATGTCTTTTTTATTCCTGTCTCCTTTCTCCCTTTGTGTTCCCTGCCTTCTTATTTGTATTTTTTCTGCACTTTGCCCCATATTTGGGCTCTTCTAACCCCAATTCCCATTCTTAGTCTCCCCCAGACAGCAGAAGTACTTACACATGTAAGGGATGCAGTGGGAAATGGAGTTTTTTCATTCTAAACTCTTCTTACAAAGGACACTGTTTCAAGCTCTTTAGACACAGAGTCTCACCAAAACTGACTAGGATCCCATGGACAAGCCAAGCCTGTAGTCCTTTTCAGCAGCAAAGAGGTAGATGCAGAAGTGCTTTACACATAGACTAAAAAGGGAAACTTTTATCAGCAAATCCTAGTCAGTTTCCTTTTACTGACAGTCCTTTGTGCAAAATGCTGGAGTGCTATTTTGGCTGTTCCTGACAGCAAACAAAATAGCAGGGCAGTTTTAAATGGATGTGTACACCAGTCGGCTACACACTGATTGGGCCATAGGAGGCCTGGAAGATGGAAGTTTGACACCCATGCTATTGAGTTACACTAAAATGCAGTCCTTAAAAAAAGAGATGCAAATCAGAATTTCAATCCAGCTAAGTGAAACAAAATTGATCCAAAAACTGTACATTCCAAGAGCTAGATAGATTTCTTTTTCAAAAGCAGAAATATAAGTTAACATGGCAAAAAAAAAACCCATATCAAATCAAGAGAACAGTTTTGTGCCTGATGTTTATTCAGCTCTTGGTCCCGTGGTGATAGGACCATTTGTGCGTGAAAAATCTTGCTGGTCTTCCTCATCCAAACCCAAAATGTCTGGAATTTCATCAGATTCTGAAGACAAGTCTGTGATAGTGAAATCTGGCACCTGCAGAGGAAGAAATCCAAATAAATGTGAAGGTAAAAACTGAAGGACCTGATTTGCAGGGAACTGAACACTCATGCCTCCAACTGAAGTCAACCAAGGTGTTCAGTACTTCTGAAAATCAGGCCCAAAGTATTAAGCAAATCAAACATTCTCAGTCTTATTTTAGATAGATAGAATGACAGAAACATCTTAAATAATATACATTAGTGTATTAATGGATACATTCTTATAATAAAGGTGGAACAGAACTGCACTCAAACACAGAACATTTCATAATACTTTGGGGTGGTATGTTAAGAAGGTTTTCTAATAAGATTAGTCTCTTGCAGAGACAGTGTATATTATATCTCACATCAATTTATAGGTGTTATATATGTTTGCTATATCATCTTTATCTTCAGTCCTCTTCAAACTTCAGAGGGGAATGAGGGATAGAGAAAAAAATAATGGTTATGTAAGGAGCTAGTTGGAGAGCCTGGTTATTCACAGAACAGATACAGCACAGGTGATATCAACACAAGCTCTTCTACACTGCACTCAATTGAGGCAGTAGGCTTCAATCTTGTTCTGAAGAAATTGTATGGGGAAGTGATTGCCTCTAATTGTGAGAAATTAACATTTCACAATAGTTTGCCAAGGAAAGTTTATATTTGTAATGGACTCACACTGATCAACATTTTAAGAAACAGACTACATGGCTAAACTTTCATTTGTCAAAGCTCAAATCTGCCACCAAGTAACTTCATAATAGTTATCAACTCAAGAGCTACTAATAATATATTTTTAAACCAACCACCATCATCCCAGCAGAATTGACACTACCCTACTACAAGTGGAGAATACCCATTCCATCACTCATGCACTCCTCAGTTTCAATGTTGCATATTCAATCCCTACCGTAACTGGGTATGTAGAATTAGTATGGACCGTTAACTGTTGAGTGAGCAATGACGGTCAAAGTGATTTTTATATGTATGTTAAATTGGTTAGTAAAGCTCTTAGCACATCTAGATGTTGGGCAAAATTTTCAGAAGCCATTTAGGAGCTTAATTTCCATTCCTGTCAGTGAAATGTATGTGATTTAGGAGCTTGGGAACATTTGAAAATGGGATTTACGCTAGCTGATTCAGGCGTTTTTGAAAATGTTACCCAGTCTGAGCAAAGTAAATATATTTTTCACAGTTTAATGCAGAGTTGGCTTAAATGTAAGCAAGCTGAGAAAACACAAACTCAGCTACAGCATTTGTGCAGCAACTGCAGGATGTGTATGGTGCTGGGGTTTACAGTTAGGATAAAATAGCAAGCAAATAGTTCAATTGGAGTAGGAGATTCATTGCTATTTGAAACATGCTAGACTGAGAAGCAACCCAGTTTATTTTTTCCCCCTCTGTTAAGTTTGTTCTTTAAAGAACTATCTTGATGCACTGTATGCACTGCTATGCAGCAAACTATGCTCAGTCCTTGTTATCGGGGATGACACCTTTGGAACAGGGAGGCATGGGCCCAAGAAGGAAGTGGCTCCTCATATTATTCAGCAACCTCTCTAGATTGTGGAGCTCTGGCTCTGAAGTTGATTTACAGGTAGGGAATCTAGAACAGGGCTCCAGAGAGAGGAGTGCCTCCTGTAAAATAAAACTGGGTTTCAAAAGACATTGCTTGAGCCCCAGGATGATGACACTTAGCATGAGGAGTGCATCATAAAGGCCTACAGCAGCCATTGACTAGTTTTAGATAGAGCTTGATCTTCTAATGAGATCAATAGCATTAATCCCACTGACTTCAGATGGCAGCAAGAATGAGGCTCCATCCCTCTATTGGCAGAAATTACTCTGCACGCTGCTGCACAAAACATCCACATAGTAAGAAAGACTCCACATAGTAACACATTTAAAATAACTCTGTGTACTTTCAGGATCTGGACATAGCACTCCTTGCCACACTAGTAACGGACTAGGAAATCTAAAACAATGTAACCAAGATATCAGGAGCCAAATGTGGAGGCGATACGTAAGTTAGGCTATGTCTACATTGCACTTTTGTCAGTAAAACTTTTGTCAGTCAGGGATGTGAAAAAAACCACACCCTTGCCCAACAAAAGTTTTCCTGACGAAAAGCGCCAGTGTGGACAGCGCTTTGTCTGTGGGGGAGACTCTCTCACCAACAAAGCTATCACCCCTCATTGGAGGTGGTTTTATTTTGTTGGTAGGTGGTAGGAGAGCTTTCTCCTGCTGACAGAGGGGCTACATGGAGTACCTTACAGTGGCACAGATGTAGCAATACAACTGTGCCACTGTAAGATGCACAGTGTTGACATAGCCTTAGACTTGCAATACACTCCTGCAGAACTACTTCTACCCACTATACTCATATTTAAGGGAGTCTACATTGGAGTCACAGTCATTTACACCTTCTCCAGCCACCTTGTCAAGTTACTTGCACTTAAACTCCTTTAGATATTAAAAGAATGGATGTAAGTAGCTCTAAGGGACTCTAAATTAGGGCCTATTAATATTAGCAATTGCTACACCAGCTGCAAACCCTGTGTAAATGCACCATGTCAGCCAACAACAGAGTTTGCATCAGATTTATCTTTATTCTGAATCTGGTAAGTTGCACCAGTGGAGCACATTTATACATTTATGCAAACCCCCATAGAGATCAATGCAAAAGCCCCTACCAATTATAAGCCTTTAATGTAAGAGAGTCTAACTTCTACATCACCTCTGTATTTGCCCTTATAGATCACTTGTTTCATATTTGATGGGGAATAGGAGAACGTGTAATCCTCATTTTTTGTGTGATTATGACCAAAAAAGGCAGGTAAAACATCTCTTGCACTCCTTCCCCCTCCATCAACACTAGTTACATAATCTATTAAGTTACTTTACTCCATAAAAAGTTAAACTGTACTCTAGTGATATGTGCATTTAGCCACTGTCTTATCAGAATTTAATGTGTATTTTGTAACTTTAGTAAGAAAAATGTGGGGGCTATGAAGAGACTTTTGAAACAACTACATAAAATGAGCATAGAAAAGCAGTTCCTTACTTTACAGTTTTAGCACATGGATTCTGCCTTTATTTGCATGCATCTAAGAGACTGAAAACTTCAAAAAAACTCAAGTTTCAATCTAAGAAGTTTCAAAACTAATACATTCAGAACAGATATCAATATTTAATTAATGAGTATTCACAATACTACTGACCAGATGTTAAAACAACAAGCAGTGAACTGCCTGAGTTTAATACTCTATTGAGAAAGCAATCCACAAAATTAATTGATAATTGCAGGTTAGAATATGGGGCCTCATTTTTGTGTATGAGACTTTTTGACAATTTTTTCCCAACTCATATAGGGGGAAAAAAAGATTTGTAAGCAGTCAATGCATTATGGAGCCTGAGAGTCCTGGTGTAGTCAGTAATAATATTACAAAGAGCACCAACACGTGTTTTATTAAGATAGTCTGCTGAGAGTAGAATATGTTCCAACCCCTCTTGATCCCCCAAAGAAGCTGTCACTATGTTATTATGGAAACTGAAAGCTCTTTGTTCCAGAGAGCACTGTGTAAAGTAGGGACATATTTTGTAATAATATCCAAGTACATATTCCAGAACTTAACTTCCTCAGGTTAAGTATTCACTTTTGGAGTAGAAAAGCATTGCAAGGTACAAGTGTTTTCTGGAACCTTAAATTGTTATTCTAGACCAAAAACCTGAAGTAGTAGTAACCAGTATCTAAAAGTGGGTGTAGAGTCAGTCAGGCTCATCTTTATGTCAAAGATCTTGCATTACAATTAAGTGAGGCTTAACTTTACCAATTATTACTTTATAACACTTTACTCTAGGGGTCAGTGTACTTGTTTATAAATCAGTATATTGAAGACTCGGGTAGCTTACAAAATGATTGTCACTGTATAGGAAAGGAAGTTATGAGGTGAAGCTGACTGCAGAAACCAATAGCTGAGATGTATAGTGGTTTGGTTTTTTGTTTTCCTCCCACATTTAGAAGAGTGTCTGTTTCAGATCTCTCCCCCACCCACACTAATCATTATGTCACTGCAATCACATTACATTGTATGATGACCTACTGGAATAGTGTATCAAACCACAAACAATGTTTAAAAAAGATGAAATCTCATGTTTATTCTCAGGCTGATGGTAGAGGGGAGAGTTTCTACCACGTGCAGTTGAGCTATTCATTATGCAAGCATGGTAAGGAAGGTTTAAAAAGAAAGAAAAAAAAAAAAAAAAGAAGTTAGACATCTATATGAACAGCTTCTACTCTTACCAGGGCTTTAGCAGCCGTACAGATTCTTCCCATTTGAAGATTTATTATGCTTTTAGGCTATAGCTTCAAAATAGTCCCATAGCAAATACAGTACAATGTTAAACCATTTTGGTTGAAGTAGCAGGCAAATATGAATGTAGTCAGACCACGGACCAGCCCACGGATGCATCTGCACTAGGTGTTGTAATTTAGCACTGGAGCTATCTAATGGGAGCTTAGACACAGCTGATGTCTGGAGTCATGTGGCAGGAGCTGCTTAGGGAACATCTGTATACAGACAGCTACAGTCTCTTAAGGAAAGAGCTGAATGAGTTAGTTGTGATTCAGTTTAACTAGCATTTGTGAACCATACTGCTCCCCTTCAACTATGAGGGCAAAGGTCAGAACCCAGAATAGTCACTTGTTTGACCTCAGTTCCCTATTCATCTAAGGAAATGACTCCTAATGCTGTAGTAGCGGTCTCTTCCTGGAGACCTTTTCTGAGCTCTTCCTCAGGTGGCAAGTCTTACCTTCTTAGAAAGAGGTCAGCAAGTCACCTGAATACTTTTGCTCAGTCTTATGGTTCAGGAGAATGGCTGACCAGGGCTGCTCAAGAGCTCCACTCCCAGGGACCCACCAGCCTCAAACAGCTGACATTTGGAAATTCAATCCTGAATCTCTCAGCCTACCTGGGAGTAGCAGTTGGTTTCTTAGTCTTCCCTCTACTGCCCAAGGCTGCCTCTGTGCTCAGATTGGGAGAACTGACAGCATCATGCTTTCACAGGCACCCATTTGGATAGTGTCTAGCAGAGGGATAGTCTATTTTTTTTGTTAAAGCCCAAATTTCTTGATCAAGATAGTCAGGGTCTAATCTCCCACTGCAACAATAATGTTAAGTAAATAAGATTTTGCAGTCTGTTCAGTGTCTGGCAGTGTGGATTTGGCCCATGGTCCAAATGACTACCCCAGTCTAGCACTACAACCCATTTGTCCTCAGTCCTAGCTACTGTAGCTGCAAGTGCTTTTACTAATAATCCTCTACCACCAACTCACTCTTCAACTGATCATGAAACTCCATTGTGTGGCTTCTGCATAAAAAAAGTGGGTTTTTGGTTTGTTTTAAGGAGTTCTTAAACTGTCAATTTACCATGGAGAAAGTTTAGGGCCGATTCAGAGATCTAAGCTGCTTTAGATTTTCCACACCTTCAAGTCCCTTCAGCAAGGGAGTTACACACACAAACTTGCTCATTCATGGTGTGCTATAGTTCCTGACATCCTCTGAATTCATCCCATAGTCTAAGTTGGTGTGTAACTTACATGCCAAAAGGCCCAGAAGAGGGTCCGACAGGAGGCACTAGGACTCCTACTTTAACTTACAACCTCCTGTTGGCTTTTCCCTCCCGCACTTTTGGTCCCTCAATATGTAAATTACAGCAGCTTGCTAGTGCCTTAGTTTGAATTAGGACTTTGTTCTCCACTGATAACCACAAGCCAACAATAAGGGAGAATGCAGGAGGTTGTCTGAGCTACCAACAGTTGTTCCAGTATCCACAGTCCTACTTACATTTGTAAAATAATTAAAAAAAAAAACCACCACCCAAAACCCTAAGATTAGAGATTTTACAAGGTAAAATACAGGTTAAAGGGAACAGCAGAAATCAGTCCCTATCTCATGGTACATTAAAAACAAATCCATTAGAATACTCTTGAGTCCACTATTAATAACTAGCACCCTACCAAATTCACGGGCATAAAAAAAAAAAAAGTGTCATGAGCCATGAAATCTGGTCTCCCCCATAAAAATTTGGTCTTGTGCGCTTTTACCCTGTACTATATAGATTTTACAGGGGAGATCAGTGTTTCTCAAATTGGGGGTCCTGACCCAAAGGGAGTTGTGTAGGGGGGCACCAGGTTATTTTAGGTGGGTTGCAGTATTGCCACCCTTACTTCTGTGCTGCCTTTGGAGCTGGGCAACTGGAGAGTGGCAGCTGTTGGCTGGGTGCCCAGCTCTGAAGGCAATACCATACCATGCCATGCTGCCCTTACTTCTGTGCTGCTGGCTTCAGAGTGGGGCACCCGGCCAGCAGCTGACGCTCTCCAGCTCCAAAGGCACTTATGCACCGTTGGCAGCAGCATTAAGGGTAGCAGTACCGCAACCCTCCCTACAATAACCTTGTGGACTCCCCCACCCCTACAATTACAACACTGAAATTTCAGCTATTTAAAAATCCTATGACTGAAATTGACCAAAATGGACCATGAATTTGGTAAGATATTATTAACCCAGAAGCTTGAACATCTTAACCTGCCCATTCATTAAGCATGAAGGTCTCTTCCACCAGCCTCGGCCCACTATTCACTTTGAGTTCACTAGCCACTTGGATTTTCATCTTTAAATGGTTGCTTTACTGCAGTATGGCACAAAAAGAGCCATCCTCATTTCTAGTAGTGGATATGCAGTGGTTTAAGGCTTTAGTTGTGCCAATAGGGAGAGCCCAGATGGGGGAACTGGTTAGTCCAAGCTTGACCTAGGGTAGAATAAATTAACTATTGTCCATTAGTACATATCAGAATTTTAAAAAAAAAAAAAACAATCTTTCCAGAGTGTACAATATGCAGCACACATACTAAGCAAATTTAGTGTGATTAAGTTTCAAGTCTTTGTAGTTTCAAATGCATGTTTGATTATACAAACACGACACAAAACAGCCATCTATTTTCAGTTCTGATTTTTCAAACTAAGAGTATATTGGCTGCAGGGGGAGGACTGCCAGTGCAGTAGGTATTAGAAGTCACATGCAAGAATGCCCATACTGCAAGCAGGACAAACATCTGTCCAGGTCATACTGCACAGACCACCTCCTTTACATTACTGAGCAGTCATTTCTACAGTCCAGGTTTTCACTAAGGCAGACAATAAGCACAGACAAGCTGGGCTAAAGCTAAGAGGGAGCGGAAGGGTGGATGGGGACTCACAGGTAGGAAACAAATGCAGCAGCAACATCTGACCCATCTCTATGTGTAATGCATCTGATGTGGGTTAGTAACCAGTAGTTTGTTTGCATTTCAAGCCTGCCTTCTCCTGGACCCAATTCAATTTAACAAGACAGTGAGTCACAGTATTTAATAAGGAAGTGCTAAAATGTTTGTTTTTACACCATTCAAATGAGACAGACTTTGGCTGCTGAAGCATTTATTACTGAACATACAAAATTACAAAAAAGGTGAAAAAGCACTACAAAGACACATGAGACTAGGCACCCTGGTACAAACAGGTGTTCATATTCCATACTGCAGATTTAATTCTCAGTACTGGTTTTAGTTAATTTATTGGGTAGTTAAATAAGGATTTTTTAGAAAAAAATTTTTAATCAGGGCAATGAAAACTCAGCATTTACATAACTTTGGCTGAACAAGTTAGAAGCCTTACTTGAAAGCAAATCAAGTAGCAGATTCATATTAAGGCATTATGCTTGTGTGACCTGTCCAATGAGGTGATTCTTAAGACAATTGTACAGTCTGAGTCATCATAGCCAAGTGCACAATCTGATACTGAAACAGTGGAAGTTTGATCAAGTTCTCTTGCTGAGCTGCAGAACTTTTAAATGGAGTGCCAAATGAGATCATACTACTTTTATATTTTTCCTGCACAGGTCACAGACTAGTCAAAGTTTTTGGGTGCAATGAGTTCCATTTAAGATCTGATATTGGACACTTTGTCAGACAAGAGGCTTCTTAACCAGGTAACTAAACAAGGTGAACCACTGCTGTAAGCTGCTGAACTTTCAAGCCTCAAGGCACATTATGCTGGTCATTATTTTCAGAGGCACTTAGACAGGACAGCAAAATCATTTTTCTAATGAAAGTTCCTCTCTCCTTAGAGGAGAAAGGACACATTCATATCTTTAGGTCTCCACCATCCCCACACTGTGGATATTTTTCCCCATAGGTCCCGACACCTACAGTAGTTAAGTCACCTTGTTAGCTCAGACTGCAGAGTATGTGTGTGCTATGCAATTTAATTTGTGCTGTGTTCAGGCTGTTTGTCATCCTGGCTGGCATTTTTCTCCCCTTCACCCTTGCGCTCAGCATGCTGAGACCCAGCCAGTTGTGGGTAAAAGGGACCTACCAGCCAGTTGAGTGGTGTGTTGTTAACAAGATAATCCATCACATCATCCAGAGACTCCTTCATTTTCTTCAGGTGTCCTTTGCTAGTGGTGAGAAGGTTATCTGATACTTCGTGGAAAGACGAAGCAGAGTGGAAACTCCTATAGACATCTCCTGCCATTGCCCCAACATGATGGGCTTGGTCCTGAATGTTCTGCGGCAACCCCTGTATACTGGACACCAGGGTGAGGCAAGTGGTCTGAAGCTGCTGAGTCAGGCTCCGTGCAATAGCTAGTGTGCGTGATTCAATGTGCTGGAAAAAACAAAGCATAATAGCACTTTAGAGTTAAGCATTTCATTGACCAGAGAGTTGGTCACTGCAGCAACTGTACTGTTGCTGAAAGCTCACACCATGGAATGAAGGGGAGATGGAGAATTGAAGCTGTGGCAGATGAGAGCAGGGCCTTCATTTCATAGAAAGAAAACTATTAAGCGGTTGGCTTGAAGGAGTTTACTAGGGTCCTTGCTTTTGAAAACATGTCTGACAGACCCGGGTTACATGAACCCTTGAAGGCTGCAAGTCTCTGAAGTGCACTACATGTCATGTATAGAAGAGGTCTGGCTGTTCCTTGTCTCAGCTAACTGTACTGTAGTACAAGCTCAATAATTCAATTGGTTTTTAGTGAAACAGTTAATGCTTCCAGCTTAAAGCTACAAGCACTTATGAGATAGCATTTTAAGTTCAGCTAATCAATTACTGCATTTGTGCAGTTAGCAACCAATCCTGCTAAGAGGCTTGGAAGGAGAGGGAATAGTCTGGCAGGGTAGGGAAAAGAAAAAAAATTGCATTGTCAGTCCCACCCAAATTGTTCTGACCTTCCAAAAATAAGCTAGATGAAAAGGTGTCCAGGACAGATCTGAATGCCTGACTAGGTGTGGGAGAGCAAGTCATCAGTAGCTTATCCCCTAGCAATAGTTTGAGCTTGTGAGTCTATCTGGACAGTAGGTCATGGCAGCTGAGTATAGAGGTCAAAAGGCCAATTTTTTTTTTTAATTCTCTTAAAAAAAAGGCTGCAATAAGTATGCCAAAGCTTGACTGCTACAATTATAGCAGCATTTGGAGACTGTAGTAGAAAATGGCACCCAGTTACTGCATTAGACCATTACTGCAATGTTTAGGGTTCTGGGAAACATCTGCATCTAGTTAAACTAATTTGTTGTTGAAATGAACACAATAGGTGTAGCCAATTAGCTTGCATCACTAATTATGTCTGGTGCCAATAACCAAGTCACTACTTAAGCTGGCCACCATTGAGCTAAATTTAATTAATTTTGCAGAGCAATGGGAGCAACAGGGGGAAGGGGTGAGACACCATTCTAGTTCTTCATGCTTGTAGTGCATCTTTGCAGCATAGGATGTTCCATGAATCATTTTGAAAACTTCAAGGACCAAAAGTTAGTTACTTGTATGTATATACTTTGTAATATGTCATTTATACTCTTGGTACATTTACTTACCTCAGCACTGTGAGAGTCATCACCATCATTTTGGCCTGTGTTTTTCTTCCATTCTACCCAGGACTGATATAGCATTTCCTGGGCATCATGAAGTTTCTGGTTGGCACTATTCATGTTCTTTCTGGCATACTCAATCTAGGAAACAACCAATGAGGTAGTGAAGCAAGGATCCCAAACAGTTTAGGGTTATTATAAATGTTCTCTAGCCCTCCCACTCTGCAAAAAAGTCAATACAAGGGGGACAGTTTTGTTGGGTGAAAGGATATTTTTAGAGTGACGGAGGGGTGGGGGGAAGAAGTCTGCCTTCCTCTTGTTTTCTAGTAGTATCATGTGCAAATGTTGAAGTAATGTACAGGTCTTAGAAAGAAATGAGAAACTGTATACCAGGACTGAGAATGAGGAGTATTCTGTTGCATGATTCTAACAATGCAGGAGCATGCAAGAACAAGTAGTTCCAACTTCAAAAATCAGAGAGGTAGCTGTGTTAGTCTGAATTGTAAAAAGCAACAGAGGGTCCTGTGGCACCTTTAAGACTAAAGTCTTAAAGATGCCACAGGACCCTCTGTTCCAACTTCAAAAAGTTAGTCATAACAAGATTTAAAGAATCCTACTCTACTAATGGAATTGAGTAGGATTTTTTTTTATTTTTTTTCCCCCCCCCACACTAGAACTGCAAGACATTCTTCACTTTAGGGTCTAAGCTGGTCCTTTAAACAGCAACCAGTATTAAACAAGTACATTTTCCTCTTAGATGCAATCTTATTTTAGGAGTGGAGACTGAATCTGTTTTAGATTAAGAGATGAGAACTTGAAAGATAATGGATGTGTTTTGTACCATTAAGAACCTTTGATTTAATTAGTGAAACAATTTTAGTTAAGTTATCCATGTTTAACAGTTCTAAGATAAGACTACCAAGAGATTTTGCATTTACACTTCACACCCCAAATCAGAATTCTTGTTAACTTACCAGATTAACAGTGTAATTGAGCTGTGAAATGGTCTCTTGGCTTTTGTACTTAGCATCTCTAACCCTGATTAAGGCCTGTTGGTAGGCACGGCTGCGGACCTTTGAAGACAAGGATCCAAGTCTAATGTAGTAGCTTGGCTTTTGAACTCCAGCTTCAAATCCTTCAACCTTTGTAGCTTCTTTTGCTAGAGAGAAAAGTTAGTTAAGACTGACTAAAAGTTAGGTTAGCAGTCCAGCCTCTGAAGGATTACATGGCAGCCCAACATGTATCTGGATGGGGCAAAAACCTACCCCTTCATTCCAAATATCACTTTCCTTCATATGCCTTCCCTGCTGACAAGAAGGCATCCTGGTTGGCATGGTGAAGGGCCATGTCTGAGATTAGTTTCATTACAGTGCCACTCCATTCAACTAGTAGGGTTGTCAAGGGACACTGCTTGTCTCTCCCCCACGGCCAATCCCCATCCCCAGTTAGTGTCTCATCTCAAGTAGTCTTACCTAGCTCCTCTTCAGTAAGTGGAAGATAATGGTCTACAAGAGTCTCCGACCTGCTGAGTGCGCTATCCACCCCACTGCTCACCATCTGCACCACACGGCTTCCCAGGACAGTGTTAATGCTGCCATTGACAACTGACTTAGTCATTTCCACACTGTCATGCACAGCTTCTTTAGTCTTGTCCATGACTCCAGTAATTGTATGGGCAACAGTATCCTTGGCACCAGTCACAGTGATTGTTACAGCATCTTTTGCACCAACAACTACATCCTTGGCATTGGCGACCACCTGCAAGGAAGAGAAGCAGATTCCTCATTTAATAGTGGGGAGGTATTTAAGTTCTGGATTTATACGCACTTTCCAAAAGTAGAGAACTAATGTTTAGTATAACTGGTTTCAGGATTCTTTAAGAGGCATTCACTACAGTGATAGAATTTTGGCTGTCATAACAAGCAGAAACCTACAGCTACTCAATCAGCATTAGAGGAGGCATTTCCACCACAAAGTAGATTAGTAGTTTACACTGATGCAAGCCTAGAATGAGTAGGATAGGAAAAAACGAGACTTGTTCCTTAAGGAACAAGTTTTCCAAAAAGTTGTGTGCGCCTAACCTGTGACTTTTAGAGGGACCAGGTGTTAATGCCCTGTTCTGATCAAGAGTCCTTTGGGTTAGGAAGATTTAGTCTTCCTACAGTGGATTTTAGTATAGATAGCCTAATTATGACCTGGTGGTATAAGTGGTCATAGATGGTTTGTGTCTCTCCATATCTAGAGAACCTTCCAGGTAGTACTGAAGCATCATTACCAAAAGGAACCCAAGTAGCATAATAGACAGAAACCCAGCTATGTGGCCCATTTGGTAGCACCATACCGGAGACTACTTGATGACAGGTCCCCTAATCCCCCAAACCAAAACACAAACCCCTGCAAAGAAGCTTCCAGCTACCTTAAGGAAGGACAGTAACTCAATATGAAGAGAGGGCCAGGAGATTAGCTTTATTAGAAGACCTTGAAAGACTTCAGGCTAGAAGGCAGCAGTGTTAAGAGTCGAAAGATCTCTCTTGTAAGAGACTGTTGTAATGAAAATTTGAAGAAAAAAAGTGAGCTCTCAGTCACAAAGTATTCTTTCATTGTACTCACATGGTAGCAATGGATGAAAGTAGATCCTCCTACTTTGCAGTATGCTAAGCCACAGGGAAGTAGTTAAATTAAGCTCTTTGAGCAGTGACTGTCATGTCTTGACCAGCACCTAGCACAATGGGGCCCTCATACTAAATGGAACCCTTGGGCACTACAGCAATATGTAGACAAGTTATAAATTCACTACTTAGTTTTCCTTTCCACCCAAATGAATAGTGAAAGCTACAAACTTTCACTTCATAGTTGGTTCTCCAGTTAGAGCTCATTTTTAAGTTATAGAAAATGTTTTTAAATGAAGTATGTTCAAGTCATTGTAACATAAGTTTAATGTGGAAGCTTTCTACTTAAATTAGATACAAGCCATTTCTATAATGCTTAGATATCTGAAGCACTGCAAAAACATTAACCCTTATATTGCTCGGGTAAGTCAGGAAAGTATTACCCCCCCCCCATTTAAATGGGGGAGGGGAAACAGATGGAGGGCCGGAATTACAATAGTGCCATGCAGTCACTGACTTCAGTTGGAGTTATGGATACTCACACCTGGGGGTGGGGGAGGGAGGAAGAGAAGGCACTAAGTGACTCCAAAGGCCATAGGGTGTCCAGGAGAAATCCAAGGTTCCAAATTTTCTACATTGTGCTCTGCTCCTAGCCTTGCTACTCCAGGAATTACTGAATCTCTGGTTGTCCCACTTAGAGATTTAAATGCAGTAATTGAATCTACCTTGTCAGTTGGTTGATATAGTATAGGCAGCCTCTCTTCAATTTTGTCCAGTCCTATGCATGCATAGCTGTTGGCAACTGCAACTAGAGAAGTTTCAAGAATGATTAAGTTGCCCTTGTGATGTTTAAAAACACCCTACACACAAAGCTAAAGGTGAACATTTGTTGAAACAGGAAGCCCAGTCCAAACAAGTAACATTTTGGTTAGTTTCTTCCTTAAGAGGAGTAAGGGAAAGAGTTCATGCAGCTTAATTCTAGAATAGCTTTCAAGTGCTTTGCAAGTGAAAAAAAACAATTGACATATCTTTCAAGGAAGTGACCTTGAGAACAGACTGATGAAATATTTCCTGGCCATTTGCCAATTCTTAAGAATAGGCTCTGAGCTAAAACCAGAGCAAGCAGCCATGAAACAGTTGCCAAATTAGTAACTGCAAGTTTTACTCAGAAGTAGGTGAAAGGGAAGTATGATGCAGAGCTCAAAACTAGGTGAAGGGTTAGGACAGAAGTTGAGCAAGAGGCTTCTTACTCAAGCAATAATCTTATAAATCAATGTTAGTTAGGAACAAGTCATTAGAGGTTTAATCTTAGGAGATCCAGAACTTGCTTGACTTTATTATTTATAAAAGCTCATTTAATTAGTTGCTCATGGCTTATTGCACAAAGGTAACAGTTTTTCTCCGGTCACTAACTTGTTACAAGTAGGTTTAACTCATAGTGCCCCCGGATTCTTTTCAACACCCCCCCCCGCAAAAAAAAAGCCTATATATTTATATAGGAACTCAATGGAATAGTTGAACAAATGCACAGAAAAGTAAAGTAGAGTCATGCCTTACTTTGTGGCTCCAGCTTCTGGATGATAGGCATAGCACTTGTCATGGCCACTGCAGTGATGGTCTTCACTCCTTTCTCTGCTATCTCACATACTGATTTCAGATAGGGATGGTTATCTTTTGTGTTGACATAAGCCGAGGACACCATGTCATAGGTGGAACTCACCAAGGGAAGGTTGACAACCCTGGCTACCACATTCTGTGTAAACAGAGAGAGAAGTTTAAACTCACATCCTTCTTGGCTATGTGACAAAGACTGACTGATTATCAGCTCATACATACCTGTTGTGAGTCAGCTGCTACTAATGCCATTTTTTTAGGTCTTGAATCTTGTACAGCCTACAAGAACAAGATAATCCAAATTAAAAAAGTTAAGTCCCAAATAGCCATACCACTGTTCCACTTCAATAATCTAGGCTGGAGTTCTCTCTTCTGGAGAAGAAAGCAGTTCTTAAAGCCACCCAAAAAGGCTTTTGAATACTTGTGAGTGTACCATCTCCTTCATGAGAAGGATCCAGATAGACAATGTGGGCCGTAATGAATTAGAGATTCTACTGTAATAATTTAAGACAGCTACAGCTTTGTTTCTCTACCACATTCACCAGTTTGGGTAATAGGCATTCAGATACTAGATACAAAAATAAAAAGGATGGTCAACTAAATAGTTTGAGAGGTTTGTAACAAATTTTTCACTGATTACTTCACTGATTTGACAGTCAGTCTCTCTAATCTAGGCTACCCCTGTTTGTATGCATCTTCCACATAGCAACAGAAAAATATTGAAGAGTTAAAAATTGTGATTTTAGGTGGGAGGACTGAGTAAAATGGAATATCTGCAGCTACTTTAAAATCAAGTAATATTTCAAAATGGACTAAAGTATCAGGAATAGCTGTGTTAGTCTGGATCTGTAAAAAGCAACAGCGAGTCCTGTGGCACCTTTAAGACTAACAGATGTATTGGAACATGAGCTTTCATGGGTGAATACCCACTTTGTCAGATGGGGACAGCTTATGCTCCAATACATCTGTTAGTCTTAAAGGTGCCACAGGACTCTGTTAGATTTTAAAGTGGTCAACTCATAGGAGAACCTTGAAAAAGGTTAGGAATTTATGTATCGCTAAGGCCCCAAATCCTGCAGACACTTGCACATATGTGTCACTTTAAGCACACAAGTAACTTGTAAGTTAAACATGTGTTTCTGCAGGATCAGATTCTAGTGTACATATTGCTGTACAATAGGTAGTGTATCATCCCACCCCCTACAAAGGATTTAAATTGTAGAGGCATAAACAAATTTGCAACATAGTTGTCTTTATAGCTGGCATTTGTACCGGTTTCCTTCCTCACCTGCACCAAAATGGCAGGGGGTTTCAGCCTGTCACTCCTAAGACATGTAAGCTGTAGATCATTTAGGACTGGGCTATGTGTGCCAAGGTCATGCCCACCACATGGGCATTCTAGGGCAAGCCATTGTCCCACATACAGGGCAGGGTTTCCCCACTGCAGAGAACCCTGAATTAGTTGGCAGGCTAAACATTTATTGCCAAATCACATGGGGTTGGAAGAGAAAGCAGCTGTCACACCAAGACCCACCCATCCTGCTTCTCCACAGGCAGACATCTGTAGTGCCAGGGAAATGGTATTGGAAGTCCTCCCACGCAACTCCCCTAAATCTGCCAGGCTTTCATCCCTGTCTGTGGAGATATAGGGGGAGTAGATAATTCAGTTAGGACTGGTTATACTAGTACTCCTGAACAAGCCATGGTGTACTTTCATAGTGTAGAGAGACATGACAGAAGACACTGAAACTAAGCCACAAGAATATGTGCCCTTTATTTGTAAGAGTCAAACATAACCATGCCTTTTTAAGCGTCTGTTCATTCTCAAAAGACCCATGTGTCTCAGAACATTAGAATGCCACTATAAAGTTTAGGCCACAAAAGAACCATTAAAAAAACCACACCACACACACACACACACACACACACACACACACCACCCACATGCAACGCCACCACCTCAG